TCTGTCCCCAACTGATCATATGCTTTTGAGAGGACTAGACATGAGCACAGATAGACACGCATAGTCTTGAAAAGTGCAGAGAAGAACACAGACAAACCATTGAGTGGACCTAGAAGACTGTGAAATAGGAAGGAGAAAATCAGTGAAAACCAGGTCTGAATGAGGACCAAACAGAAATGCTGAAAATGAAGAAGAAGTCTTTAAAAAAAAAGTTTAATTGAGAATTAGAGAGATGGCTCAGTGGCTAAGAGCACCCACTGGCTGCTCTTGCAGAGGACCTGAGTTCAGTTCTGAGCTCAAACCCATCTGCAACTCCAGTTGCAGGGGACACAACACCCTCTTCTGGCATCTGAAGCCACTCCATGTACATAGTACACATACATACTTTCATACACAATACACACACAGTGTGCATGCCAAACATACATATAAAATAAAATAAAAATAAATGTGGCTGGAGAGATGACTCAGCAGTTCAGAGCACTTGTTCCAGCACGCACATGGTGGTTCACAAACATCCATAACGCCAGTTCCAGGGAATATAATCCCTCTTCTGATGCCCCACAGGCACTGCCCACACTGATGTACAGACAGGCATGCAGGCAAAACATTTATACACATGAAATAAAACAAATAAACCTAAAACCAAGAGGTGGGATGGGTGGTTTCTGGCCTTTCACTGGGTTATGGATATTTGTCATTTTTTAGGGGGATTGGTTACAAGTTGTTATTGCTAATGGTCAGGAAAAGTGCTAAATAAAAGTGATTAGATCCAGAAAAAAAACTAAAACAAAAGTTTAAAATGAATATCTTTTAGAAAGTTCATTTGAAAGCCTCAGTTACAGAGCACATCAAGAGGGAGAAAGAATACAAGAACTTAAAGACAGACCTTTCAAAACACCAAATTCAGACAAAGCAGAAAGGACAAAGGAGGATATTCAAAATTTGGGGGACACCGTTAAATAAACAAACATTGCTATCATGGTTATACTCAAGTCAAGAGAATAAAGTTTAAGGGTGTAGAGAACTCATTAAGTGAAATGCTAACAGAAAACTCTCCAAGCCTCAGAAAGACATAGACATCCATGTACAGAAGACTTCTGGACCCCAAAAAGACATAACCAGAAAGGATCCTCACCATTATAACAAGACTGTCTAAAGGATAGGCCAGCATTAGGGTTATAGCTCAGTACTAGAGAGCCTGACCAGCAAACTTTAGCCCTGGGTTAACTCCCAGAACAACAACAAGAAGAACAAATCAATAAACAGCCAAGTACATAACAAAAAGAACTATGAAATCTACAGAGTGCTAGATCACATTTAATAGCAGCCCCATTAGATTAAGAAGAGATTTCTCAGCAAAAGCCCCGCAGGCAAAGAGGGTACAGAATGTCATATTTCCAGTCGTAAAAGAAAACAACTGCCAATCAAGATTACTATACTCAGCAAAGCTATCCTTCAGAAGTGAAGGGGAAACAGAGATCTTCCAAGGCAAGTAAAACCTGAGGAAACTCAGAACTACCAAACCAACCTTACACCAGCTGCTTCATGGGGGATTCAGAAGTGAAAGAAAGAAGATACACAAAGTAGAAGAGACACAGAAGACATATCTGACATGGTGGATGCAATAAACCATCACATCACAACAGTGAGAAAGAGGGAAACAGAAGGTACTCAAAACAGCTAGAGGGAAAATCCACAAGATGGCGATCATAATCCTGTATCTTTCAATAAAAACTTCGAATGTAAGTAAACTAAGTTCTCTAGTTAAAGCATCCAGGCTATTGCAGTACGGTAATGTATGCCTATGCCTATAACCCTGGTACTTGAGAGGCTGAGGCAAGAGGATTGTGAGTTCAGGGCTCTCCTGGCTACATAGTGAGTTTGATGGTACATAGTAAGACTATGAGCCTTGACTCCACAGTGAGACCCTGTCTCAAAATAATAAACAGTAAAAAAAAATCAAAAAAAGAAAACAACAAAAGAAACAAGACCCACCAACATCTGCTGCCTATGAGAAACTAACTCCCAACCCCAGTAAAGACAAACAACAAAAGAAAAGGACAGAAGAATGTTTCCAGCAAATAGAAGAGAGGAAGATTCAAGTGGGGTAAAATTGAAAGGGAGAGCTCGCATTGCAGCTGACATCATAAAAGTCCAAAGGAACATGCAAAGAATTTTTATAACTATGTTAACAAATAGGAAAAGTGACACACATCTGGAAAATATATAATGTGATCAATAATGATGTTGGGAACAAAGAAGGATAATGGAGTGGAGTGGGGAAGTATCAGCAGTAGAGGCCTATAATCCTGGTACTTGGGTAGCTGAGGCAGGAGAAACACAAGCTCCACCCAGCCTGAACCACATGAATAGACCCTGAACACACACAGACACACAGACACACACACACATACGCACACATATATACAAAACTTAAATATATAAATAAATTTATATATGTATATAATATTATATATACACATAATATTTGTATGCATGTATATATAATTTTTACCCAGAAGTCTAGAAATTCCAGGCCTAGCTACTGGTTAAGTAGGATCTTGGTTTGCAAATGGCTACTTTCTTGCTACATTGTCACAAGGTGGAGATGGATATCTTGTCTCTCTCCTTTTTCTTACAAGCTATGCAGAATTACCCAACTATGCCTAATTATTTCCCAAAGTCCTCCCTGCCAATAACACATCATCAACTGCAGGTTAAGACTTCAACATATGAATGGCTAGTGCCATAAACATCCAGGGCCTAACAGATGGCAGAAGTCATGAGAGTGGAGTTTTAGTTTTAGCTCATTGGTCATCAGATGTTCAAAGAGAGCTGACTGCCTGGGCCTGTGCAAACAAGAGGGTTATAGGAGACAATATCCAAACTGATTTCTGATCCTGACACTGCCATTCCATATACCCTCCTGCCCTTACTAGCGCTCAGATACACCAGGCCAGAGCACAACAGTAACAAAAATCTGGCTTCTTAACAACCGTGCGTGTTAGACTGATGGAGGAGGGTTATCTGTCTATTGTGTTATTTTCATTGGTCAATAAAGAGACTGCCTTGGCCCCTTGATAGGACAAAAAATTAGGTAGGCGGAGTAAACAGAACAAAATGCTGGGAAGAGGGCTATGAGCCAGACGCCATGGAGCCAGCCACCAGGTCAGACATGCTGAATCTTTCCCGGTAAGCCACACCTCGTGGTGTGATACAGATTATTAGAAATGGGTTAATCAAGATGTGAGAGTTAGCCAGTAACTAACTCTGTAGAGATAATGGGCCAGGTAGTATTTAAATGAATACAACTTATGTGTTGTTATTTCTGGGACTAAGCTAGCCATGCGGGAGCCGGGCAGGACGAAAAGCAGGCCTGCCCGCAGTCCCTCACTACATTAGACTACCGTTCCATCATTGTGACAAAATGCCAGGCACAAACAAGCTCAAGGGGGAAGACTTCAGATTTGAGGTTTCAGTTCAAGATCAGTTTGATCCATTGCTCTTTGGTTTGGGAGGCAAAAGATTAAGTATGGAGAAAGCAAAACTGCTCCACCCCATGGCCGTAAATACAAGTCTTTACTCAAAGACACTTGCAGTCCCTCACGCTAGCAATCCTCCTCCTCTGAACTCACAAAGTGTCCTCTTTACACGTTTGCGTTCCGTTCCTGCCACTGTGACATCCTAGAGGGAAGGCCTATATTTACCTTCAGCTTTCAGCCTGTGGTTATTTGACTTGTGTCTGGGTTCATGGTGAAACAGAAGAGTGTCAGAAAAACGCATGCAGTTGGCAGTTAGGCACCTCCTGGTAGCCAAGAATCAAAATGAGGAAAAGAAAGAGCAAAAACCCAACATCTCCACCACTGGCTTCCTAATGCCAAAAGTTCTGGAAAACTCAGTATTCAAACTTGGTCCCCCATGTACTCAACACCAAACATTTAAGTACATGTGTTCAATGACCTAAATTCAAGTGGAACCTGCCTCTTAAAGAACCCACCATACCCTGGTAATCCCATAGGCTTGGTGACCAAGGCCTTAGTATATAACCTTCAAGGGATGTTTTTAATCCAACCCCATAATACCTTGTCTTAGAAGATTTATTTAGGTGCCTCTGTGTGTAGCTGCCAGTAGAGGCCAGCAGGGGGCGCCACATAACCTGGAGCTGAATTACAAATGGTTGTGAGCTTCCTGATGTGGGTGCTGGGAACTGAACTTGAGTCCTCCGGAAGAGCAGCAACATTCTTAACTACTGAGCCCTCTCTCTAGCCCTAGTAACACTCTTCTTAAGTAGTTCATCGCTTTCTTTTTTGTTTCATTTAATCAAGATGACTTTAGAGTCCCCAAGGTCAAAAGTTCCTGGACAAGACAGTATTTGGCTTGGTCCTTTGTGAACGCAATACCAAACACAAAGTATGTAAGTTCGAAACATCTTTCTTTATGAATTGCAGCTGGACACTGGCATCTATCTAAAATGGGACTGTGAGTGGAATGGAGAATTTGGGCCTAATGAGGGCCTACTATGTGTTGATCAGTGTGCTAAACATAGCTTCATTCTTTGTTTTATTTAGAACTTTCCAGAACCCCCATGGATGTATCAAAAATTGACGAAAAGGGCTGACTACGTAGCTTGGTAGAGTGCTTGCTCAGCATCCCGAAGGGCTAAGTTCCCTTCCCAAAACCATATATAAGGCCGGTGGTGGTGTATGTCCATAATACCAACACTTGGGACGTGGAGGTGGGGTGGGGGCGGGGCGGGTGGGGTGGGGGGAGTGAGAAGTTCAAGGTCATCCTTGGCTGTGTTACCTAGATGTTTAAGGCCTACTTGAGACCCTATCTTTGAAACAAACAAACGTCCACATAAAAAAACTAATTAAGAGTCAGGATCAGAATTAGGGAAGCCTGAGGTCGCAGCCAAGTGTAAGCAGGTTTCACACTCTCCCTGTGGCCGATTCTCTCAGAGGATTCACACACAAGCCCCTCCCGCGGCGCTTTAGTGACGTCATCACGCGCGGCCGGACGGGAGCCCTCGGGGCTTTAAATGAGGCCTTCCTAGGCGCGCCGCAGTGAGTTCGGCAAAGCGTGTGTAGAGGGGTCGACTTTTCCCCGTGCCAGAGCTGTTTGGGACCCTGAGGTGGGCGGAAAGGTTGCTGCGCGCGAACTGGCTCGCCGGGGACGCGAGGGGCGGGAGAGGAAACATGGCGGCCCGGGTCTGAGGCAGCGCTTCACCGGGCTTTCCTCACTGCCTCCTTCCCGTTTCCGATACTTTCTCTTCTTTGCCTTCCCTCAGTTCCCCCGGTGCTCACCGTCCCCACCCCGCGCCCTCAGCCCCACTCTGAGGTAGGTAGGCTGAGAAGGACGCCCATGAGACCCCACAGGTGACCAGAGGCCAATTCCTGCATTTGATTCTTAACTATACCACGCCCGCACGGGGCGACAAGACAAGCACCCGGTGTGGAGAAATTAAGCTACAGCTTCAGTCGTGTGCCTGATGAACCCTCCGAGGGTTCCTGAGAATTGTTCTCTGGAATTGCCAGCCCCTGAGTCTCAGAAATGCAAAGCTCTCTTTGAAAGTTCCAGGGAGCCTTTTCTGTGCATTGTGGGACAGGATCTGCCCCCATAGCAGTCTGCGACTGGAGGGAATGGATGCTGCCATAGTGTCGTCAATGCGAGAACACCCTTCTGCTTTGGGTTCTCAGAACTCAGCCGATGTCCGGAGTACCAGTCCTTGCATCTGTTAAAGGAAAGTGGCTCCTTCTGTGTCATCTTTGCCACAGAGAATCGTGGCAGTCTTCTGCCCTTTGTTTTGCTTTAGTCAGTTGAGAGTAGATGTTAAACCAAGGGTCTTTCTCGCCCCAGTCCAGAATCTAGGTTTGATCTTGACCTTTTGTTTTTCTTCAGTTGAATGTAGATTCTAGGAAGGATCCCATCCTCACTACCTTGGAGCCTTCACTGCCAGGCTGGACTCTTGTGGGCTAGAGTGAAGGAGAGTGCTAGAAAGATGAGCTCTAGCATGACCATGAGTGAACCAAGGCTGAACTGGTGAGTCGGACCTCTTCCTCATCCATTCTGGAGGAGTGAGACAGGGACGGTGGGTAGCACAGGAACGGAAGGTCTCTGGCTTGAGAGGGTTTTTAAAAATTTTTTTTTCAGGGCCTCAGATTTTACCCTATCATATACCAATACTTTTGAATTGTAGTTGACTAATTTCAACTCCTAAAGTGACAACTCAGCACTCAGGGTTCGTTGTCATTTCATCTGAGTTGTTGTTCTCTTGTGGAGAAGAGGTACTGAAATTGTTCTCAACAATTTCAGTTTTTTAATTCCTTCACTCAAGCAGCATCGACCATAACAGATCAGTCTCAATTATAATGGTCACTTTAGTTTACCTGGAGTTCACTAGGGAGACCAAACTGGCCTTCAACTCAGAGAGATCTACCTGCCTCTGCATCCTGAGTGCTGGGTTAAAGGTGCGGTTCACCATGGCCAGCCTGTGTCGAATCATCTACAGTACTTCCTAGTACTGCAGCGTGTATTCACGTGCGATGCAGGTACTTCTGCATCCCTCTGGCACTGTGAAAGCAAAAACGATTTTACAGTGTTAAAGACCTGGAAGCGCTTTCTTCTCACAGAGTCTTACTGATCAATGTCCTCCCTAGATTAGTTAACCTCAGTATTTTCAATTTCTTTCTTTTATTTTACCAACTTTGACTATATTAATCTTAAACTAATTTTGATGTTATAAAACTCATCACTTTAGAGGTGGTTTTAGCAAATATCCATCATTTACCCCTTTTAACCAAGTCAAGTAAAGTCAGCAATAAATAAGATAGCCAGTGTTTTCACCTGGGGCAATAGTACATGAAACAAAAACAAATTGAGCCACATTTATTTTGTTCAAATACTTTAACATTACAGTTAATGGCCAGAGATAGGGCTTGTCCTGGACAGAACCTTGATTATACTTCATTCTGTTCCACCTTTAATGCTCAGGTTTCTGAAGTTTAATAGTTTACTACAGGAAAACAGATTTTCGGAGCTTGAGAATTTTATACTGCCCCAAACTTAAAGCTATCCAAGAAATAAAACATCTAAGCATGTAGGATCTCACACATGAGATTAAACTGACTAGGGGTGATTGGGAGTAGCTGAGGGTAGAGGTCATGAATCACAGCTGTAGCATTATGCTTCTTTGTCTAACATGAGATTTTGAATTGTCAAGTGCAAGTAAATTACTTTATTTCACAGGGATATTACACCTAAAAATGGCCTTAAAGCATTTTTCTCTCCAGAAAATTATAAAGATCATTCCATGGCTCCAAGTTTAAAAGAACTGTATATTTTGTCTAACAGGTAATGTTCACTTGGTTATTTATTTTCACATTTCATTGCTGTTTTTTTCTGAGAGATGAAGTTTTATGACTATTTATTTTAGTAAATATTTAAATTATAAAAATGTGAAAAATAGAAAGATGCTGATAACATTTTGATATTTACCTTTCTCCATACACACAAAATGAGATCATAGCTGTAATTATCTCAGAATATCATAAAACTTTATAATATAATTTTATCATTAAAACTCAGTGTTCTGTATTTATTTCCATGCATACATATAGTATTTCTCTTTAATCTTAATTAATAGTTTCATATTCTTTATATGTGTTTTTTTAATTCCTATAGCAAGTCCTATGTGAGTTTTTTATTTTTGCAATTATTTCTGTATGGTAAAGTCATACAAATTTAGTCAGACGGTGTGTATATTTTCGATTTTAATAGATGGTACCAAATACCAATTCATCAAAAGAAGTTGTCTTCTGTGGTATAAAAATGACTAGTCAGCAATAATGTTCCATTATTCCTGCTTACATGCCTGTAGCAGTTCCTTTTCCTCTTTTAATTGACTGTGTGTGTTGTGTTGTGGGTTACTCTGGAGACCAGAGATGTGGGACTAGGAAGCCCCTCCAAAGGAGTTTTACTCTGCTGCGGCCCTGTTAGCGTTCACATGAAAGAACTGCATCTGCCCATCTTTTTCTGCCTTCTCAGTCTTCTTTCAGTCAGTTATCCTACTTGCTCTTCTAGCTTCATTTTCTCTTGCTTCCAGTCATTTTGGTCAACATTTTTGAAAATACCAAAATTTCTGTTTTAAATAATCCTCTCCACGTTCCTTTCTGTCACCTCTGCTTCCATTTGACTTACACTACTTTAGAGGTGTGTATGTGCTGACATGAAGTGAGGGATGGGCATATAGAAGGCGTTAACACAACAGTGGTAGTCCTTCCACAACAGTAATTAAGTATAGGTAGGTAAGACTTCTCAATGAAAAGGCAAATCAGCGGGTGAATTAAAAAATGGGAAAAAAGTTGCTTTCTGAAGCTTTTCCTCTTGCATTATCAGTGAACTTTTGACTGTGGAGCTCTTCCACTCAGCTTTCTTTCCGGTCTTCTGGTTTTTATAGTGGTTCTCAGATTCTTTCATCATCATCATGTTTCTCACCATGCCTGACCATTAGACATACTTTCAAGCTTTAAGAAGTACTAATTTTGTACTCTCAACCTAGTCTGTTGAATCCAGACCACTGAGAATCAAGGATGCTTCTAGGGACTTGACTTAGTTTATAATGTCTGTTTGTGTGTTTTGTACTACACACATCAAAATACTTCCAGATAATAGGAGTTATGGTAGTATGCATTATTGTACTTGTATCTAGATGATAAATTTTTAGTTAAAGAATATGTGTGCTTTTATTTTGGTAGATATTGCCAGATTGCTCTGTAAAGCATTAAAATAAGTTTTTATTAATGTCTTTGGTAGTATAAACTTTAGAAAATTAAGATTCATAGGTGTATACATCTATGGATTTTTCTGAAAACTGTTACTGTTATTCATTCCTGGAGATAACTAATTTCATAAAACTTCCCAATCATTTAATACCTTTGATTATTTAAATTAAATAATGTTTATCAACATCCTTAACTTTTTATCTGAAATATTCTTAAGGTCAAAGGAGAAATAGTCTGGGCTTGGTCTGATGATATGTTCAAGCCATGGCCCCGGAGAGTTGCCAAGGGCCTGAACTAACTTGACATCCCAGGTAATTGCCTGCAAAATTTCAAGGGAAGCTGCTAGCGCCAGGGAAGTGCTGAGTCAGCACAGTATCCAGAAATGATACACCAGAACATTTGCAAGTGACTCCACAAAAATACCTAAGGAGTCAGCAGAAATGCTTAGTAGTGGCCCAACAAAAAATGCCAAGTAAATGGCTCAGCAAAAGCCCAAGTAATTCAGTGTATTGGCGAGTTAAATGTCCTTTTGATATAGATTAATTTTGGAAGAGGAAACCTCAATTGAGAAAATACCCCCACCAGATTGGCCTATGGGCAGCCATAATTTTCTTGATTGATGATTGATGTGGGAGAGCCCAGCTCAACTATGGCCTGTGGTACCCCTGGGACTATGATCCTAGGCGGTATAAGAAGGTAGAATGAACAAATCATGAGGAGCAAGCCAGTAAGCAGCAGTCCTCCATGGTCTCTGCATCAGCTTCTGCCTCCAGGTTCCTGCCCTTTCTGAGTTCCTGCTTTGATTGAGTTCCTGCCTCAGTGATAAACTGTGATATGAAACTGTAAGCTTGAAATAAACCCTTTCCTCCTCAAGTTGCCTTTGGTCATGGTGTTTTAGCACAGCTATAGAAACCCTACATAAGACAGCTCAGCAAAATGCTGAATGGTGGCTCAGTAAAACCCCAAGGGTGATGTGACAAAAGCATTCCATGACAACTCAGAAATTCCAGCTCGTGAATCTGGAAAAAATTGCCCAAAGGTAGCTTATCAAAGCTTCCAAAACATGGCTCAGCAAAATTGTTCAATAATAATTCAGCAAGACTACTAGATGGAGATTCAACAAAAATCTCCAACAATGACTCCACAAAAATACCTAATAATTCAGTAAGCCGCCACTTAGTTACTTAAACAGAGCATTAAGTCATGAACCAGCAATAATACAAATGATAACTCAGCCTGACATCTAACAATGACTCCGCCACCTGGCACAACCTTGAGATGACTCCACCATACCCAACAATGAGTACAGCACACAGTCATGACTAAGTATAATGTACTGTTAGTAGAGAAAGCGGGAGCAATTATGTATACAGCCATTGGCTTTATTTTCCTGAAGAAAAAAATTCCCACAGCCCAGAATCTGTAACAAAAATCTTGAAAAAGGATTGATACCAGTCTCCTTAATGACAGTTATTTAAACCTGTGAGCAACATAAGAATCTTTGACAAACTTGAGATTCAATTAGCTGACTGATCTCAGGAAGATCTCTCTACACACAAGTGCTCAGATTAGAACAAATAGACCGGGTGATGCTGGAGAACAGCTGAAGCAGTGTCTCACAATCTGGGCAAACACTCACACAATCACATTAATGGGTGGTTGATTTAAAAACAAATCAGTATCTCACCCATGAGCACCTGCTTTGGAGCCACAGACAGCAGTGTCACTCTGGGTCTACACTAAGTCACTCCTGTCACACTGTAGGAAAAGTTAACTACTCATTCTAACAGAACTAAGTCGTGGTGTAGATGACACCTCAGTGTGGTGGTCATCTTGGGTTCCCAAGTTACAAGGACAGGGATGAAAATGTGAGAACTAGAGGGCACCTTGGCATTTACCTTGTTCTCTTAGTAGTTGAGCAAGGCTAAGACTGGAGAGCCCTTTGAAAGAGTAGAAATTTAGTTAAAAAAAAAAACAACAAAAAAAACAGCACTTAGGGAAGAACACTCTGTTGTAGAGAAAAAAATCAAACAGCAGAATCAGAACTTCAGGGACTACCATTTTACACAATTCTTGGATTCTGTGAATTCACTTGTCTGTTTGTCTTTAACCCTATTCTGTGTCATTACACCTTGTTTGGATGCCTTTCAAAGAGCTGCTAACATTGTATTCCTTATATTAAAGTAGCATAGTGTTTTGTGTTTTAATTTTTCATCTGTTTGTGTAGTGTCTCAATTTATATACATTATGGTATTAGGAAAAGCTACAAAATCTCTGAACCCAGAAATGTAAATTGACGTTAGTTTCCTAAGGTTCTCTCTCCAAGGCTCTTGAGGATTTTTTTTTAATGTGTGTGGGCATTTTGCCATGTCTGTGTACATGTGTGTACAATGTCAATAGATGCCAAAAGAAAATATCAAATCTCCTGGAACTGGAGTTACAGACAGTTGTGAGCTACTGTGTGGCTGTTAGAAATGAACCTGGGTCTTCTACAATAGCAGCCAGTGCTCTTAACCAGTGAGCCATCTGGTCCGTTTTAGGATTCATGAGGGCAGACCGGGCAATGGCAGAGCCTCCAGGGAACACAGGCCTCTGTCTGTGCTGCACACGCTCTTCCAGGATCATGCTTTCTTTCCAAATGTTGGAAGCTTCTTCCTTTAGGAATGAACTCAAGTAGCTGCAAGGAGTACCCGTTTCTTGTAAGGAGAGAGGTTTTGAAAAACTCTGTGATCTCCCTCTTTCCTAGCATCTTTCCTAAACCCTTTAGTTTTGATTTGGGGGCTACCCCCCTTTTGCTAATGTTTTAGTTTCACATACAAAAAAAATGGGTTTCATTATTGGCATCTTCATCCATATATTGTATTATACTGTGTTCTCATTTATTCCCTCTTCCATGCTTTCCCTACTCCCTAGGCTGTTTCCCTTTCTCCTCCTTTGCTTTCTTACTGTGTGCAACCTGTTATTTTCTGAATTTCCCACCTACCTTACAAATCTCTTCCTCTCCTCTTATGATCCACTTCTGAATTAAGTTCAACACAAATATATAAAGTTTTAAATGTAAGGTCATCATTTGTTTTTCTTAGTCTGACTTATTTGGCTTAACAGAATAATTTCTAGTTACATGTATGTTCCTATAGATGTTCTAGTTTCTTTTTTACAACTGTATAAAATTCCATTGGAATTTTTGTCTTAGCCTTCATTTCAGATAAAAATTTCTAACTTTATCTTTTTTTCTTTTTGAGACAAGATCTCATTATGTAACTCTGGCTAGCCAGAGCTCACTGATCCATCTAACCTCATCTTTCTGCATCCATGAGTTCTAGGATTGCAGGCATGGCCACCATGCCTGGCTTTAATATTAGTCTTCATTCTACCATGCTTCTTACTTTAAGTTCTTTGTAAGGATAGTTTTGTTAGGCCTTTCTTAGGCATGAGTTATATAAAAGAGAGGAATTTTTCTGCCAGTTAGCCTTATTTTAAAAAAAAATTCTAAAATATTTTTCTTAGAATATGCTTTCCTGTCTTTAGATTGTTTTAATACAGCACAGTTTATTAGCATAATTTGCATTTTAAAGTAAAAGATAAGCACAAAATATTGATACATGTTTCTAAACTTTTTGTTATAAGGAACTGATTTTGGGCTTCGGTTATTTAGAACTTTGCTTGTTGGAAAAAAGTAACATTTTTTAATTTATAATATAGTAATTTTTGTGTTCTCTAGCATGTTGGAAAAATACCTTTAATTGGGTTGATTTCAAGACTGTGACATTTTTAATTGCCCCATTGCATCACCAAAAGGTGTTTTACTCTTAATTTCAGTATAAAAAGCATTAACTAGACTGTTATACTCCATACATGTTTGTAAGATAAAAGGACCACCAGAATAGTGTGACGTTAGAAGTCAGTGTGAATGAAACAAAAAGTCAAAATGGCATTTTTTTCTTTCAATGATATTCATGTAGAAATAAACACCTGCCTTTATTTAAAATTAAGCATTTAGTTATAGATCTTTATAATTGATTTTTAAGCCAACAAGTTACTGAATAATTCTGAATAAGATGAGGAGAAATAGTTGCTGTAACCTGACTAATATAAAAGAAAGCTAAACTCTAAGTTTCAAGTAGACTTTGAGGTGGAGCCCGGAAATATCATTTCTAAATGTGGTTTTTAAAGAAACTGCCAAACTAGTCGACTTAGAATCTAGCAAACTAACAGTTTGGAACATTTCTTTATTTTATAGCATCTTGAAGTAGAAAGGAAAATGGTAGTTGGCAAAATGAAGGAAGAAGCTTCAAACTATCAACTGAAATAAAATGCAGTGGTGTAATGTATGTAGGTAGTGCTGTTGGGTACTTGTGGCTGTACCTGATGAAGATTTGACAGCACTGCACTTGAAAATGATCTTGATGTGCTGCCATTCCATTCTTCGCTGCATGTAGCCAATTTAAACTGCTAGAATGTCTTGACATTCCTACTCGGGCATATCTGAGTCAGCATCTTGTTGCTGCAGCAGCTTAATTAAATTTGCCAGTTTGTGCCAGGAGGACAGACGTGTTCTCATATTCAGAGAGACAGCTGTGAAGCAGTATTGTTAAGAGTTGCGGACACAATACTGTTAGGTTTGAATAGCTCTCAAGACATATTCTAGTGAGAAATCAATTTGCTGTAATACATTTCTACCAAGATCAGCAGTTAATATTCATTTTGTTAACCTAAAATGAGCTTATTTTTATACAGTTATCGGAGAAACTTAGAGCTAAGTATTTGTTCTCTTGCCTGTATTTCTGGAGTCAACCTAAACATTCCAATTTTAATATCCAAAATTCTTTCCCATTAACTAATTAGCTATTTGTTGAGTTTTCCATTCATAGTTTATCTCTGAGTATTTTAAAATGATTTTGCTTTATTTGAGGAAGATTCTTACCCTTTTCTAAAAGACTATTTTCAGACTTTGAATTTATACCATATTTATTTTAGTGTTATAAATTAGTAGTTCCTAACCGTATCAAGGTCCAAACCTTTGTACTTTTTTATAGCAACTGTTTTGTAAGAACTAATGTACTTCCTTCATTAGCCCAAACTGAGATGATAGCTAGCTACCAGAAACATAACTTTTAAAAATAGCTTGATGTTCTAAATACATAATGTACGATAAAAGAACAATACCTACCCTGCATTGTATAGTGCATCTGTACATAGACATTCCTACAACAGAAGATGCGATGTTTGGGAAGATTGTCCATTTATAGTGGGTGTGGCATATGTACAGCCTATAAGAAACCTCTGATTCAGTTCTCAGAACCAAATCCTAAAATGAACAAGACTGTATTTAAGAGAAGCAGAAAAAATATACTAAGCCATAATCATAGGGAAAAAATGTGGTATCAAAGTAATAGCAAATCAGAATTGTTTTTAATGTTAGAAAAAAAAAGGACCTTTAGAAGTTGTGTGAAACAATGTCATATATTCTCAGCATTTAGTATTCCTCCAGATTATGGCCAGCCTTTCACTCTGGTGACAAGTTAGATGTTCCTACTGACTTAAAGAAATGAATGCCATAGAAAAGCAACATGTCATGATTGCAGCCATTGTCCCCTTCCTTCTCTTTCCTTCTTAATCCGTGGTCTCCAGACGATGCTTCTCAGCCAGCTATTTGGTAAATTTAGTTTGGAAACCTAATATCATTATGATACTGAATATAAATATACATATGCACATATTATTTATTTATTTTTTTCTTCTTTCATGTGGTTTTCTTTCATTCATTTGTCAAGCCACTGGTTTAAGATCCTGGCAATCAAAGATTGTACTATAATCTGCTCTTGGACGTAGCATGTACTAGCAAGTTTAAATATCAGTGAATATTAGTGAATGAGTCAATAGACATCCATCTTTGTCATTAGTTTCCTTTCCTTCATGAATTATTGTCTAGCTGGAGCCAAGTTAAAGAAACAATGACTGTGGTAGAAATCAGAGTTGTTAAGAGACCAAGGAAGTGTAGTTTTTTTGGTAGACTTATTCTCTTACTGAAATTGTAGACTAGTATCTTACTGAATAGCAAAGATAGAAACAATTTATGAACAAGATAATAATTTATGGTTGTATGTTTTACTAGAAATAGTAAAGTGACTCTTAATTGGGGATGTCATTTTATAAACAAGTCTAATATCAGGCTCTCAGGCTGCTATACTTGTTGCCTTCTCTTTGAGAACTCCTCCTTATAGATACACTCTAATTTTTCTTTCGCATCCATAAAAAGTGTAGAGGCATTTCCATGGGGTTAGCCATATACTTGATAGATAGAGAATTGTCCAGTTTTTCTAAAATCACTACTGCTCCCATAAAATGTAACACAGTTATTGGAATTTTATTTTTAAGTTCTGAGATAACCAATGGAAACCAGAAAGTTTAGAATCTCAGTGAATTAATTAACCTCAAGTGTGTGACCCCATTTTATTCTGTTCTTAATGTTCTTTGTTCACCATTTTAGCTGATAACCTACTGAAGAACCTAAGCATTAAAAGCCAAATAGCATTGCAATAAGTAAATGTTAGTATAATTCACAAGAATGATTTTCCCTTTTAATAAAAGGGGAAAGTTCCAAATAGAATAGCTGGTTGAAGTGTGCCTCTCCCTCTCTGTCATGTGGCTGAAGGTAAGCCTGCAATGAGGTCTTTTCATGCAGAATACTTAATCTACACTAAATGACTGAACATCAAAATGCAGGTGGCAGAGTTAGATAATAATCCAGAAGTTACTGTTAATCATGTCATATTATTCTCCCTTTTGATTGAGAATCATAAGTTCCATGATAGTAATCTTCATGTGAAAAGCACATATTTGTAAATTGTATTTTTTTTCCAGACGTATAGGAGAAAATTTGAATGTCTCAGCAAGTTCTGTAGAAAATGAGCCTGCAGTTAGTTCAGCAACTCAAGCAAAGGAAAAAGTTGGGATGATTCTCCTTCCAAAACCAAGAGTTCCTTATCCTCGTTTCTCTCGGTTCTCACAGAGAGAGCAGAGGGCGTACGTGGATTTGTTGGCTAAATATGCAAAGATCCCCTCAAGTTCCAAAGCTGTTGGGACAAATACAAATGAATTCCTGCAGTATTTGGTATGTATTCTGTTCATCAGCTACAGAAAAGAATCAGAAAATAATTCCACTTTCTATTTCCTTTCATTTTTCTTTGCCATTGTTAATTTGTTAGTCATCTCTCTCATTAGGTATAGTCATATTTACAGAAATGGGAAGGTAAGGACTTTAAAGTGTAGGCACTTTAAGCCTTCTGTTGATTTTATTGTGTGTAGTTCTGGCACCTGCTCTGCTGTGTATCGCTTCATCCAGTTCATCTTACATCCTAGCAAGAGTGCCTTTACAAGCTTGCTGTGGTCAATTTGAGTAAATTTTGTTCATATACCTTTTTACAGAAATGATAGTATGCTGAATATCTTTCTAACAAAATCTTTGTCCTTGTGATTATTTCTTTAAAATAGATTCTTTTAAATAAATCTTTTGTAAAATAAAATTTTAAGATCAAATGCTACATGTTTTTAAAGCTTTGATCTGTAGTTATGGATGGATAAATTATTCTTTGAAAGGTTTGAATTATTTGTTTATATTACTATAAGAGGTTTTGAAGGCACCTTCACCAACAGTAGACATTGTTCTCCCTTTTTTGGTCTTTGTTGCATATGAGAAAATGGATGATTTCTTGTTTTATCTAAATAAATATATTGAATACCAGTGAAAACAAACATCTTCCATGTATCTATAAACCATTGGTTTTTTTTTTTTTTACTGTTTTGTTTCAAAACATTGATGTACATGTCCCAGGTTGTCTGCGTGCGTTGTTGGTAGCCAGGGGTAACATAACAACTAGTCCTGTACCACCTCCAAAGCAACAAGTTGTGGGAGTGTGCCACCACACCCAGCAACAAGCACTGTAGCTCTAGGACTCTTCTAGCTGTACACTTTGCTCATTTCTCCCTTAAGAGACTTATCTTTTTAGAAAATAGAAAGCAGAATTTCCTACATGTATATTGTAATTTTGCACCAGCTCCCATGGTGTAATGGTCAATGCTCTGGACTCTGAATCCAGCGATCCAAGTTTGTATCTTGGTGGAACCTGTTCCTTGAGGAAGAGACCTGGTCAGTCTTCCTATCAGCTCAGACCATGAAACCCTATACAAACAGGCTGCCCAGACATGCTTCACTTTCACCTCATGTTGTACTTTTGTTCATTTGTTTTTCTATTTCTGTGGAGTTTGTTGTTGTTGTCTTCTTTTCAAGACAGGGTTTCCTGGCCTCTAACTCACAGAGTTCTGCTTGCCTCTCCCTCTACCTCCCAAGTGCCTCTGTGGGTTGGGTGTGTATGTGTGTGAGCATGTGATGCTTGGGGTTGAACCTATATAATTATTTACTTAAGTATATTAGTGAACTGTCTTCACACACACCAGAGAGGGAATCAGATCCCATTATAGATAACTGTGAGCCACCATGTGGTTGCACAGAATTGAACTCAGAACCTATGGAAGAGCAGCAGTGCCCTTAACCACTGAGCTATTTCTTCAGCCCCCTTTCTTAGAGTTTTTAATAATAAGTTAATCATTATTATTTGGTGATTTAAAAATAATTTTCTTTGTGATTTCCATTCTGGATTTAATGTTTATTCTTTGAAGTTCAAATTATTAGGGCAACTATTGAGGAGTAAATACTTTTAGTGAAACTTTTTTTAAAGATGTGTACTTTTTTTTTTAAGGATATGAAAAAACATGTGAATGAAGAAGTTAATGAATTCCTAAAGTTTCTGCAGAATTCTGCAAAGAAATGTGCACAGGATTATAATATGCTGTCTGATGAGGCCCGTCTCTTCACAGAGGTAAAGATCTCTTTTACATAAACTGCTGAGCAATAAATAAGTGTGGCCTCTCTAAAGTGTGTGAAGAAGACCCCCGCAGCTTAGGGAACCATCAGCTTTAGCAGTTTAGTTACATGGAGGCCAGTGCACTACTCAGTGTGTGAAATAGTAGAACTCATGGCTGCTCGGAATATTGAGGTAGGCACTGCAGTCCATATTGGAGGTAGCTTCTGCGGAAACCATTTGTTTGGACAGAGCCAGGTGACACAGGGCTACAGAGCTTTAATGTGTTACTCAAAATTATTCACTGTTTAGAATTTAGGAATTTCTTGTTTCTGGAATTTTCTCAGAGGTCTTTTCATTGTTTGGTAGCAGGGAACAGGAACTGAAAGTTGAGCTGCAGGTAAAGGTGCACTGTCATACTTCAGATTACAGTATGCACTACAGCCCTGTAAATGCTTCAGGGGGTTCCTTTCTTTTTTTTCTTGAACTAGTGCTGAGTTAAATGAATGCAGTTGCAAGCACTGTAACATCCAGCACAGTTTCACTAAGATTTGCCGATAAGTAACCAGGGTGTACCTTACCACTTGGTGCTTGCTTATTAGTTCCCTTTGTCTGTTGAATTCTTACAATGCCTACGACAGGACGGGAACATCATAAGTGTGTGCTCACTGGAACTACTGACAGGGAGGAAAGAGTATAGTTCACTGAGAATTTAAAGCAACTTTTCTGTTCCAATCCACACCTGCAGTAGTTAAGAGTGATATCCTGAAGAGCAATAAGATGCATAGGTGGAAGAAAAACATGTTAAACACAGCAGGGTGTGTGTACTAGGAAAAGAGGAACAGGGGATATGGAATTATAAGCTGTGGCCCCCCCACTAAAGGCACTAGCGCCGAGCCTGACTACCTGATTTCCACCCTAAGGACCCCCACGTCATAGAAGGAGAGAGCTGACTCCCCCAAGTTCTCTCTTCTATCACCTGCCTCTCTTTCCCCTCCTTCACACACACACACACACACACACACAAATAAATAAATTAATACATTCATAAATAAATAATAAAGGTGTACTGAGCTACCTATTGATTTGTAACTTGAAGCATTTTATAACTATTTGGAAGGAGGGAGTTATAGATAGAAAGTTGGAGCTTCTGTGATCTAAAATACATCCTAGTTGGTAGTGATGGTACATGCCTTTAATCCCAACACTTGGGAAGCAGAAACAGGCAGCTCTCTGATTTCTGAGTTCCAGGCCAGTCTGATGTACATAGTGACTTCCAGTCTAGCCTGAACTACACAGTGAGAGCCTGCCTGAAAAATAAAATATTTGCTACAAGGTTTAGGCACCATGCAGTAACAAAAGATGATAGATACCTTAGATGACAGCACATGTATGTACTTTTAAAATTATCAAAACTTTCCCCAATGATGGCTCTATTCCTCTGAGGTACATGTTATCACAAATGTATGGTTTTTATTGGGTAAAGCTGTGAATATATCCTTCCCAGCTATATTTCCTAGTAAGTCATTAATATTTTGGAAACTGAAGAAGACATTTAAGAACTTAGTCTTCTTTTTTTTTTTCTTCAGAGCAGGTTGTCATGTAGCCCAGGCTCATCTTGTATCATTGACCCTCCTGCCTCTACCTCTCAAATGGAATTACAGACATGTTCATATACACCCAGCCCCAACTTCATGTGCTTCTTTTTGTGTAATACATTTTGTGCAGAAATTTTCATGTGGCTTCATTTCTTTTGTCAGTTTCCTAAGAAGCATAGAAAATACCTTGTCTTCTCTATTTAATTTTAAATTTTCATAAGATCACTAATTTTAGTATTATTAAATACCACTATTTTAGGAAATTAGGTTAAAATTTGTTATGAAAACTAAGAGATTAAATCAAGTAGGAAATGCACAGAATTGTGGATTATTAGAAGAAATAATGAGTGAAATGGATTCCACTTTGCAACTAATAAATTTATAGTTACATAAACCAAAGCATATTTCTCAGGAAAGTATAATACAAATGAGTAATTCTTATTTCTATTTCACAGCAAATTCTAAGAGCTTGCATTGAGCAAGTGAAAAAATACCCAGAATTTTATACTCTCCATGAAGTCACCAGCCTGATGGGATTCTTTCCTTTCAAAACAGAGATGGGGCTGAAGTTAGAAAAGACTCTTCTTGTTTTGGTAAGGTTTATTCTGTGAATGTGAAGTGGATCCTGGGGGGCTTTGACTAGAAACACCATTTATGTCTTATGTAGACACTGTGTTTAAACTTTTGGGATACATGATACAGGTGTAATACCGTATGCTTTTAAAATACTGCTACTAATTTTGTTTCTTGACTTTTTTTCTTCCCACTTTTCTTAATACTTCTCAAATAAAACAAGGAGTTCCATTTAAAGAAAATTTATTAACATATTTGAGAAATAAGTATATAGAAAATGTATTTTAGCACTTCCCTTCTTCTGTGTTGTGATTTATGCTTCATTAAAAAACAAAAGGTGAAACTACAAAAGTAGCAGGAAGATTGCAGAAGACTCTGAACCTTTTTAGAAACAATAGCAGTAACAAAATCATTGTTTGTGGTTGTCAAGAAATACCATGAAAGAATGTCTTAACTTAAGGAGGTTCTAAGATTGACATTTGAAATTTCAGTTACATTTCCAATGTTGCAATAAAAGTACATTAAGGCTTTTACAATAACTTTATTTTCCACTTATTTAGGGCAGTGCAAAGTTTGTAAAAACATCATTTCCCTCGATGCCTGTGAAGTTGCAGCTTTCAACAGATGACATGTCTTCCATTGAGACCCCACAGCAGAAAGCTGAAGCTATGCACTACGTAAGTCACAGTGGTTTTCCTAAAAAGTTAAAATAATCCTAATAATTGTACTGCACAAAAGATGTGTGGCCTAGTTGTTCTAACATTGTTTCTGTGATGTTCCCATCTCCTCATCACTTTGTGGTAGAAATGTTGTGAGTGACCTAGATAATAAGACATGCATTGTTTTGTTTATTGTGAACCATAAATCACAATATAGAACACAATTGTTTTTCAGGATATTAGTAAAGACCCGAATGCAGAGAAGCTTGTTTCAAGATACCGTCCGCAGATAGCTCTGACTAGCCAAGCATTATTCACCTTGCTCAATAACCATGGACCAAGCTACAAGGAGCAGTGGGAAATCCCAGTGTGTGTTCAGATGATAACTGTTGAAGGTTTGTGATTTGATGTGCCAAATAATGTACTCAGAATGGTTGGAATTACCTCATTTCGGCTGTACAGACATAGATGGCTGTGTGCCACACACAGATCTCCATTTTTGTTTCAGGAGAATAAGAATCTGACATTTAAACTCAGTAGAGCTTTCCCTGCTCTAAAGTTGTGATAGAACTGACTGCTCAGACCTATGGTACCTGCAGTTATGTTAAGAAATAAGACAGAGGAGAAAATTTTACTCGGGTGGCCAGAAATCTATGGAAGCTGTTCAACTTCTGTTTGTCAGTGGTGTAAAGGAATGCCTCACTCCGTTAGACAGTTTGCAGGGAGCAGATTTCCAGGAATTTGTTGTTTATTGTTGGGAACCAGATTTAAAGTATGTTGACAGAGGATAGCCTTGGTCACTAGTAAATTAATATTTGCACATTAATTCTTCTATTAGTCTGGTTCATATTTGACCATTTTTATCCTCCAGAATAATATTAAACATAAGGATATAAATGAAACATTGGATCTTTATTTATAAAGATAAAACAGTACTGTAGTGGCATTTCATTCGTATTTAATAAATAAAGCTTACCTGAGGATCAGGGAGTAAAACAGCCCCACTGGTCAACCTTACAGACCAGACAGTGGTAACACATACCGTTAATCCCAGTAGCCACACTAGTTGCCATAGAAACTGGTCGGTGCATGCCTTTAATCCCAGCCTTAGAGAGGAATATAAAATGGAAGGAGACAGTTCTCAAACTTAGTCTCATTCTGAAGTTGCTGGAGGCAGAATTGCCATTTTCAGACTGAGGTCGGAGAGCCAGTGGCTGGCCGCTTTGCTTTTCAAATCTTCAGGTTGAACCCCAGTTTCCCTCTCTGAGGTTTTATTAATTGTGCTTCACAGTACTACAGGTTAAGAGTTAAATGTGATCTCTTGCAAAAGTGTACATGCGCTTTTCAAATTCCTAAAAGAACAAAGAAATTAAGATACTAACAATACAACTCTAAAGCTCAGAAGCCTTTAAACATTGTTAGAGCACATTTCTCCTGCTGACTGGATCCTCTTGTCCTTTAGTACTAAGGGGCATTTGTTTATTTATTTGTTTGTTTGTTTGTTTGTTTTAAAAGATATGTATTACAAGAGAGACGGATGCAGGAGGCATGGCCCCACTGCCCTATCCTGTCCCTGTTTTGTGATCTTTCTGCCACATATCCTTTTTCCTTTTTTTTTTTTTTTAAAATAAAACTACCAGATACTAATCACCACTTGCTTCTGTTTCTGTTTTAAGGTTCCAAACCAGTTAAAGTAATTTATATTAATTCACCACTTCCCCGAAAGCAAATGACAATGAGAGAAAGAAATCAACTCTTCCATGAAGTTCCATTAAAACATGTACTATCAAAAACCACATCTGTCCCAGTCTCTGCAGTCTTTATGGACAAACCAGAAGAGTGCACCTCTGAGATGGATGTATGTAATACTTTTTCTCCCTTGTTGATGATATACTTGTTTATCCTTTGGAGCGTAAACTTACACTGCAAATCTTTAAACTTCATAGTTAAAATCGTCCTTAATATACATGTATTGAAACAGTACATGATACATGGTTAACTCCCCAGTTTTTATGTATCACTTAACAATTTTTAAAAGATTTATATTTAGTCATAGGTAGGTTTTGTGCCTGCGTGTGTGAGTGTGGGTGTGCTTAGAGGCCAAAGATGTCAGATCCCCTGGAGCTTTCATGAGCCACCTGATGTGAGTGCTAGGAACTGAACCTGGGCCTCCTGAAGAGCAGCAAGGGCTCTTAGCTATTGAACCATCTCTAACCCCCTTACCAAAAATAAAATTTAAAAATCAGGACAGTGATCTGAGTATACATTTTCTGAAACATTCATAAATAGCTGAAATATATATGAAAGAATATTCACAATCACTAATTGTCATGGAAATACAAATTAAAACCATAAGGAACCAAGGAGATGGCTCAATCTGTAAATGGCTTGCTGTAGAAGCATGAGGATCTAGGTTCAAGTCCCTAGCACCTACATAAATAGCAGGTACAACTGGGCATGCCTGTAGACCCATGGAAAGAACACGTAGATCTTTGGAGGCCATCAGCCAGCCAGCCTAGCTGAACAATGAATTTTAGGTTCAGAGTGAGTCTTTGTCTCTCAAAAAACAAGATAGAGAATGATTGAGGAAGAAGACATTTGACCTCAACTTTTGACTGCCACACACCCACACATATACACACAAACGCCACAATGAGGTGTCATCTCTTAGTAAGAATGGAAATAACACAAAAGATAAATGACAAGTGCTAGCCAAGCATGTGGCTCATATTGTGAACCCTAATACTTGGAAAGCTAAGGCAGACTTGTGAGACCAATTTCAGATTTTACAAGTAACAGATTAAAAAAGCAAATACTGAGGAGGGTGTGGAACACTTGTTCAGAATGCAGGTTAGCTCAGCCACTACAGAAAACAGTGGGGAAGTTCCTTAAAAATAAGACTGCCATGTGTTCCATTAACTGCCCAGTAAAGCATGGATTTCAAAGAAAATAACCAACCAGAGCACTTAGACCCTTCAACAGTGTGCACAGTATCCTAGCTATGGAATCAGCTTTAATGGGCAACTGGATCAAGGAAATAAGGCATATAAATACACTGGGATACTAGTAAACCTTTTTAAAGGGAGGTTATTGTACTGTCTTTAGCAACAGTATGGATGTACCTGAAGACCAGAATGTTAAATGAAATAAGCCAGGCACAAAACATGTGATTTTACCTTATAATGTGACATCTAAAAGATACATTCATAGAAGTGGACAGCAGAGCAGTGGTCCCAGAAGCCAAAGAGGGCAGTGGGAAAGGCTGAATAGAGATGAATTAACAAATGGAATCACAGTGAGACAAGTGAGGATTGGTGTGGTTCTGTAACACAAGAAGACAATGGTAGTTAACAGTACTATGTAATTCAAAACATACAGGGCATTAGAGTGACAGGCATGATTTAAATATCAGTTTTAATGATATGTACTTAAAGATAATTTTTCTATAATTATTAAAGTTAAACATTTTGTTTGTAGAAAATAATTTGTTCAACAAATATTGACTGTAAATTCTGTTCTGTGTGCTGAGATGGATAAATAAGAATGCAACTTGGATTCTCTCAGCATTTACAGTGTAGTAGATGACGCAAACTGAATGTCCAGTAGCAGAAGCAGCAGGTACGGATAAATATGGAGAAAACCAGGAGATGTTAAGAAATGAAGAAATGGACAGAAATAGGGCCATTTTATATTCAGGACCAAAAAGACCCGAGGATAGTAAATATGAACAGAGATTTTTAGTTAAGTAAGAAATCAAACAGTTTTAAATAACATAAAAGTATTTACCCTCACTTAAGAACTTAAGCCATTTTAAGGCTGTTGGTGTTTTTGTTTTTATATGTTCTTTTTTTTCTGTTTGCCATTTGAGCTTTGATATTTTTATGTGGTATCACAAAGCACTTCCAGCTTTTTTGTTTTGTTTTGTTTTATTCTTTTACATTTTTATTTTGGACTGTGTACTGGGGACAGGGACATATCAGGAGATGAGAAGTGCCACAAAGACACAAAGTAGGTTAAGAAGGATAAAAAGTCACAGAATGGCTTTGGTCATGGTGGACCTTTTCATTACTGATGACACCTGAAAATTATTGCTGGATAAAATATAAAAACTTATTTCTTACTACCATTGGTGGGGGGCTTATAAGATGATAAGGATTTACAAAGCTGAGATATAGAGGAAAGCAGAAGTCTAGGAGGCAGGCCACCATTTAGGTTCTTTTGTGCTTTTGGTGTTATTTACCAGTTCTGAGGAGATAACCAAAAAAGCCTGTATTTTGGCAGTATCACAGGATGAAGGAAACAAGGCAGGGCTCAGTTTCCCAGCAAGGCCTTTTACTCATAGAGTTGTGAGTGAGGCTTATATAGAACGAACCCATTTCCTCAGAGGTTTTCAGCCTAACTTCCTCAGCCCTTGTTTGGAGTTGTGAGATAGTTGGTGTCTCCTAAGACAGAAATGATCGTGAGGGGAAAGTGGTGTCTGTTGAGCCCCATATTGTGATACTAATTATCATTAGTGTTTATTCTAGTTTTTGTTGCTTAAGTATTCTGAAATTCTCAGCTCCTTCTTTTAACCCAATAGGTTTGGATGTGTTTTTATTTTCTGAGTGCTTGGATTTTTTGTTTAAAGCTTCCTTAATAATTTCTAATTTTATTTACCTTTTAACTAGAGTAGGACCTTAGCAAATTTTGCTTTGCACAGTGTTGAAATTTTACTAACTTATAATTCACTTTTAGAATGGCCTCTTGGATTCTCTGAGGAAGATAGTATACATAGAATTTATCCATTATATAAACGTTTATTTATACGTTATATAAAACGGTTATACGTTTCAGTCCTTCTTCTGTCTGTTTCTATCAATATTATTCATCCTTCCTGTATATGCATCTGTTTAGAGACAGTACCATTGAGCAGCCATGGTGATGTTTTTGTTACATATGTGTATTTTCCTTCTTTTTCTCTTACCTTGAACTCTGCTAACATTGCCTCTGTTACTCCTCTCTTTATTTCTTGGTACTATGTCCAGTTCTGTTTTAACCTTGCTGTGTAGGATTGCCCTCCTGTTGGTGCCATATAGTCTCCCTTTGTTCTGGATTTGTTCATTTAATTAGAGCTGCCATGTGGTTGAGGAGGCTGTGTACTGTGTGCCAGGCACAATGTCAAGAAAATCCTTGCATATAATTTCACATTTGATCTTTAGAACAAATCCAGAAAGTAACCTTGTTATTCTTGTTTTATAAATATGAGATGTGAGGTTCAGAGAAATCAGGTAATTTCTGTAAACCAATCTTATTGCTTAATTGCTGCCAGACTTACTCTCACAAACCCTACCCCAAAGTCTAGTATGTACTTAGCTCATAGTCAAGTTTTCATGGCATTTATGAAGGTAAAAAGTGTTCACTCTGCTAGGGCTGGATTACAGCTTAGTGGTAGAGTACTTGCCTACCATGCAAATAGTCCCGGGTTCAGTCTTAAGTACCACAAACAGTAAAAGTAAGAGCTGTATAGGGGTATGGCATACCTGTAATCCCAGCATATATGGAGGCAGGAAGTTTAGGACTTCAGGGCCAGCCTCTGATCCATAAGAAATTCAAGGCTTGGACAATGTGTGGACCTGCTTGGTGAGGAAAAAACTAAAATTGATTAATTTTAAAAATGAGGGCTCTTTCATATTGAGGAGAGATCTCTGGTTCTTGACTCAAGGGTAGAATATTCTTGAATACTTGAAAGCTATTTGTAGTTCTTCTGTTACCAGAATAGTACATAAAGACAACAACTTCAGTGACTTCATGTCCCAGCATACTAAGAGCTACTTCCTGTCCATTATAGTATGTTACTCGGTGTTTACCTTGAGTGGATTTAAAAGTGTCACTGATTGATATTAGGAGACTCTTGCGTAACAGCAGTAAAGAAACTGTCCTCCTGGTCAGCTAGGATCAAGGCTTTCCCAGAGTTTATGAATTGGGCATGCTTGAACCTCTCTTGCCATTGGACTCTCCGTCTCTTCTTGAGGGTCTTGTCTGTTTTCTTGTTTGTTAATATTCCTCTTTGGGTCTGGCATTTCAGAATTCAGTTTCCTGTGCTATTCTACCTTGACAGATGTGTCTATATGAATATTTTCAAGGGATAACAAAATTAAATACTTAAATATAAGTTGTATACATTTTAAAGACTTTTCTGTTTGTGTGAACATTTATATGGAGGTGGGAGGGACATATAAGTGTTAGGTGCACACATGTAGAGACCAGAGGTTAACACAGAATATCTTTATACTCTTCACCTTTGTCTTTGAGATTCACTCTCTCACTGACACTGAGACTTAACTTTTTCAGTTAGACTGACTGGCTAGAAAGTCCTTGGGATCTCCCTCCGCTGTAGTCCCGTCTCCCCTCCCGTAACACTGGAATTGCTGGCACACATCACCATGTCTGGCTTTTACTTGTATACTGGAGATCCAGACTCAGGTCATGTGCTTGCATAGAAATCCTTTTACTCATTGAGCCATCTTTCTAGTCCCGTCTTTCTGCTTCTGAAAACATGAACTGCAATGTTAGGGATAAGGGCACTAAGAGTTAGGTAACTGTGGCCTCAACTTTTCCCTAATAATTTGCCAATATATTTTCTTCCAAGATACCCACTGAAGCTAATGAGTGCCGAAAAATTGAGACTCTGGAAAATATGGATCTAGATTTTGATGATGATGTCACAGAACTTGAAACCTTTGGAGTAACTACCACTAATTCATCCAGGTCACCAAGTTCAGAAAGTGACTCCTCTGTACCCATCTTGACAGATGTCTACACAGCCCCTAAAGTAGCAGCTGCACCTGTGGTACCAGCTACACCTGAGGTACCAGCTTCACCAAACATTACTGAGGATTCTAGAAGTTTATGTCAGATGCTGATGAAACAATTACAGAAGGAGAAACAGCTGTTCTCTGGTGTGGAAAGTGGTCCTGAAGGGTGCAAAAATAAAGATGATCAGGGACTGGAATCATGTCGTGAAGAGGTTCCCAGTGCCAGTGCAAAATCTTTAGTACAAGACAATGAAGTCCGCAAAACATCTGATGGAATCTCTAAGGAAAGTGATGTAGGTATGCTTTGTACCAATGATAAAAGACCGAGTTTTCAGGGTAACCCTGACAATGCCAACAGAACAGCTACTGCATCAGAAACAGCTGAAACTGAGAAAGGGATTTCTTGTGGTAGTGATACAGATGAAGATTGTTTAATCATTGATACAGAGAGTAAAAGTAATAGTGACGGAAAGACAGCTGATGTGGGTTCTAGACCAGCAAGTCCAAATTCTTCAGCACGGGCTTCTGTGGGAAAACAGACTACTACTGTGGTTTCTGAAGAGTCTTGTGTTTTAAAGAAACCTATCAAAAGAGTATATAAAAAATTTGATCCAGTTGGAGAAATTCTAAAAATGCAGGATGAGCTTTTAAAGCCAGTTTCTAGGAAAATGCCTGAGTTGCCCTTGATTAATTCAGAAGAATCTAAACAACCATCTGCTTCTGAGCAACCCTCTGCTACTTCAGATGCCTCCAGCTGGCCAAAATCCAGTTGGCCTTCTGCGTTTCAGAAGCCTAAAGGACGTAAGTGAATATCAAGAACTTACCAGTTTCTCTATTCCTTTTCCTTAGCTTTTTCCCTTCTTTCATGCAATTATAACCCATTTTGTAATTTTTACCTAGTCGCTGACATTTCGTTTCAGTATGTTGATCAGAGTTTCTGCTTCCACTGTGTCTTCTTTGTATATCTACCCAATTTGTATGTGTGTTATAACCTGTTTACCCAGTATGTATATGGAATGACTACTACTCTGATAGAAGGAGTCATAAACGTTGGCCTGTCCAGACTTCTGTGCCCTGTGTAGTAGACTGCAGAATGCTTGTGACAGTGCCCCTCAGTCTGCCTGGCTTAAGAATATCAGGACCTTTTAAGTTCTTTCTTCTCACTGCTTAGCACCCTGATGCATGCTTTGCCCAGTGCTCATGGACGTATTTGTGAAAAGTAAGAGAACTTTAAAACTCTGGTTGCAGCTCTCTGCTGCAATGTCAGTAAGTAAATATGGCCTGAGGTGGAGAACTGACAGTCACATAGAGTTATTGAGTTGTTGTATCCCAGATTACAATGCATAAAGAGGTAGCATATTTTTAAATGGTAATGAGGAATGTTTTTTAAAAGGATTGCCATATGAACTTCAAGACTATGTTGAAGATACATCAGAATATATAGCTCCTCAAGAAGGAAATTTTGTGTATAAGTTGTTCAGCCTTCAAGACCTGTTGTTACTTGTGCGGTGCAGCGTCCAGAGGATAGAGACAAGACCACGTTCCAAAAAACGGAAGAAGATCAGAAGAGTAAGTTATCTGAGAAGTTGTGATGTGTGAGTGATAATCCCAAATATTGAACATGGCATCTAACAAAATTTGGCTTTAACTTTTTGATCACACCTATAGTTTTTCTAGGTAAACTTCTTTTAGTAAGATGTTGAAATCAGTTTTAATAAGATACACACACCATTGTCATAAATGTTGGTAACCACCAGAACTAATCCATATGAACTCTAGGAAAAATATCATGTAGATTGACTTGACCAAACTAACCTTTATAGCCTGTGTATGTGTGACTTTGCATTTCCTTGTTACCTATGAGCCCTTTCTTTACCCTGAGGTCTTTCTCAACATCTTTTAGAAACAATCTTTAAAAGAGTCCCAGAGTTTCAGGGCTGCTGGGGTGCCAGTCTTTGCAGTCTTTCTCCTGTGGCTCCTCTTGGGGCATGATATAAATTCTCTTCAGTGAAAGAAACAAATGATTGTTAGTTTTCCCAGTGTCCTTTCTGTGACTGAGCTTCTCTTTTAGAACACTTGGCACTCTTTCATGTGATTCTGGATACTGGGAGATAAAAGGAAGCTTTTGATTTAGTTGATTGCTAAGAAGTACTGACTTGTCTTTTATTGTATTTTTAAAAGAATTCTTTTTTTTAAATATCCATTTATTAGAGAGAGAGAGAAAGAGAGAGAAAGAGAAGTGTGTTGTGTTTGTGTGTTTGTATGTGTGTGGTGTGCAGTCAATCTCACATATACATGTGCATGAACATACTTGTGTGCATGGAGTTAAGAAAGTCAAAGAACAACTTTTGGATTCTCTTCTGCCATGTGGGTTCCTAGGATGGAGCTCGGGTCATAGTGCTTGGTGGGTAGCACCTGGCCTGTGGAACCATTTTACCAGGCCAACAGAACTTCTTAAATTGTGTTGTTTTCTTTTTTATTATTTTATGTGCCTGCGTGGTTTCCCTGCATGCATGTCTGTGCACCACTTTTGTGTGTCTGGTACCTACATATGCCAGAAGAGTGAGTTGGGTACCTTGGAACTGGAGTTAGACATTTGTGAGCCATCATGTGTGTGCTGGGAATCGAACCAGACATTCTGAAAGAACAACCAGAGTGCTCTTAACTACTGAACCATCCATCTCTCCAGCCCCATTTTGTTGTTGTTTTGCTTTAAGTTTTATTTTTGTACTCATTTGTGCTCTCATTTTTTTGTAGTCAGCTTCATTTCTTTCATATGCCACCCTGTGAGTCCATACCACTTTTTCTTTTTCTTTTCATTTATATACTCAAAAATAATTGATGTTAGTAGCCCAGGGAAGTTTTGGACACCAGTTTAATTCTTGACCAAGACAACTTGGTAAGGATCATTATCATTCGCTCAAAAAGGGAAATTTATAGAGGCCAAGCTGTAACCATCTAGGAGAAAATTATTCATCAAGATGTCAAAACAATTGAGACCCAAAGAATATCTGAATAGAAGTCTTATATTTCTGACTGTCAAGATTTAAACTTGAAAGTTTTTCAATGAGTGCTTGTTCCTTACATCTGCTGTTCATTATGTGTGCTGGTTTAGTGCACATGGTATAATTCATATACTATAACGTATGCCCCTTGGTATTAAGCCCATTTTTTCTCTTTTTCTCAAATGTTAGTACCACAGAAGCTCAGTATATAGGTGAGAAAATGTGAAAGGTTGGGAGACTAGGGGGTCTTTGTAAGGAACTTTAGAGGGAAGTTAGCATCCACACTAGTTTAAAAAAAAACAAAAACAAAAACTGTCATTTCAGAATGTGTCCTTGCAGTTTTTCCTCCAGCTAATTCAAAGTTTTCAGGTTTGCAAGTTTAGCTCCTGGTGTTCAAGAATATTGTCTCTGATTTATCCTTAACTCTTCAGTTTTGTGTTGTTGTTGAAAATCTTACTTCTTCAAACAGAATTCTGCTTAGAAATAATTACAGCACTTTGGAGACTGAGGCAGGAGTATTGTCAGAAGTTGAGGCCTGCTGCTCTACATAGTAAGTTCCAGGCCAGCCTGGGCTACAGAGTAAGCCCCTGTCTCAAAAAGCTACACCCCTCCCCCCAGAAAAACACACCAAAGCTGCCTGTTAGAAGAGAACTTAAAATAGCAGCCAGTTTGAGAAAACAGAAGTGAAGAGTTGATGTGGACCAAGACAAAACTGGAACTTACCAGTTCATCCACGCCAGCTATTTGCTCTTGACTGTCCCAGTTGGCCACATATCCCAAGTAGTGCATTTTAAAATGGTTAACAGTTTTACATCCAGTTACCCAAATCTTACCTTGGCATTGAAGGTAGGTGTGTGTGTGTGTGTGTGTGTGTGTGTGTGTGTGTGTGTGTGTGTTTAAGCTGCTTAAAGGTGCACTGTGTCAGGTAGACTAGAAGTTGCTCAGTGGTATTGAGAAGACTCTAGCCATGAATGTCTAGGAGAGTGTTTTAGGGTTCAAGAGGTGCATGCACACAGAAACAAGAGCACTTGAGCAGCACAGACTAGAGCGCCCTTCAGGGGCATGAGAAACTTATATCACAAATCTTGATTGTTATTTACACTTCTGTTGTTGAAACTGAGGAGTGAGAAAACATTGAGGCCCTTCCCATGGCTTCCTGGAGATGGCAGTAGAATACATACAGAAATAAGGTCAGATTTAATTCTTAGTTTTATATCGATGAAAAGCCCACTCCCCCCCCCAAAAAAACCCTCAAACTATCTGTATCTTGAAGTATATTTTTCGTCCGTAGATAACACTGTAATCCAGTTAAGATCCAGAAAGATGTTCATCTTCCCTTTGTATCACCTGTTTTTTTCCATTTCTGGCATAATCTGACCCAAGGCTTAAGGTTTTTGATTGGATTTTGATTTATTGTGCATATGTAAGTGGTGTATGAGCACTTCTGTGCTATGAAACATGTGGAGGTCAGAGGACACTTGCTAGAGTCTGTTCTCTCCTATATTTTATATGTGTTCAGGTTGTCAGTTTTTGCAGCAGTTTATCTACTGAGCCATCTCACTGGCCCAAATTTTCCATCACCCTAAACCTTTCATTTTTTGTCTCCAGCTTCTATTTGTTTTAAAGTTAAGAGGTTAAATCATATTATTTGCTAAGGAACTGTTATATATGATACAATGATTTTAATCCAATCACAATTTTTATTTCCTTTTTTTTTTAATGTGAACCAGAGCCTCTTAAAATTGCAAAACCTTCAGCATCATTTGAGTCTACATTTTAGCAGGGGTCACCAGGTTATTACATGCTTACATTCTAGGCACTATTACCTTTAGGAGTCACCACTTCATCCTCTTACAGAAATCAGAAATAGTCACACAAACCACACCTTTCTGTGTGCTGGTGGCTAAAATACTGAGCTTGAATTGTTCTTAGCACTACTGCTGTTTCAAGACCACTAAACCACTCTAGGACAGCCAGAGCTGAGAAACAATGATAAAATGTTTTTAGATTTGTGAAAGACAGCACCTTACTTTAATTTTTAAAGTGCTAACTAGCCATGTTACTTGAGTAGGTTCTGTAAACCTTGTGTCTTCTGAAGCAGGGAATGGAGAATCCTGTTGAGAGTAGAATTTTCAGGCTGGGGATGTATCATAGCTCAATGGTAGAGCATGTGTGTAGCATGCACATGACCCTGGGTTTGATGTCCAGCACCATCAGAAAGAATTAGGTTTTCATTGGCAAAAGATAACATGACTGCTACAGTATTTCACAAATAGGTACTTAACTTGCATTTCCACTCTTAGACTAATAATGGAGATAGTCATTTTGCACCATCTGCTTCATATCCTGACCAGTAAGCTCTAAGTGGATAATTTGTCACATGCTTAGTGCTTGGAATAAAGCCCTTGTGTTGTAAAGATAGTAACATCCACAGCTGTTCTGCAGGTGCTAATGCTCATTCTTAGGATGAAAACCAGCTGCCCAGGGTGTCTGAGTGACTGCTGTCTAAAGCAGGGAGGGTTCTTTTCCTTTTCTTTTGAGAAGTGTTAGTATATGTTAGTCACTGCCTTCTAGCATTTAACTTTGGACCTAGGAACAATTGCATGTGCTGGAGTCTCAAGGAGTCTGCTTGTGAATCACATTTCCTGGCAGAGGAAAAACATGATGCAGTATGTGGGGAGTTTGTCTGTCTGTGTTGGAGATGAGGGTGGTGGTGAGGAATCTGTTATCCATCCTCCACTTCCTGAATCTACCCCTCAGAAGCAAATGTATCCATATCTTCATATCCATATTCTACACTATACAAAATAAATAAAATTAAATTTCCTGCAAGCATTTGAAAACAGATGACTATATAGGCAAATGTATTTTCTATGAGTAGTAAATTTTGTTTTTGTTTGGGTTTTGATTTATTGTATATATGTATGATCCGTGGGCACTTGTATACCATGGAGTGTATGTGGAGATTAGATCTGGAGCTTTGACAAAATGCAATTTTGCATTACAGCAATTTCCAGTTTACGTGCTACCAAAAGTAGAGTATCAAGGTTGTTATGGAGTTGAAGCTCTGACTGAAAGCGAGCTCTGTCGCTTCTGGACTGAAAGTTTATTGCATTCCAACTGCTCGTTTTATGTTGGTGAGTCTATAGGAGTCCTCTTCCCCTTTGTAATTCCCTTTAAATATTTGCCTTTAAATTCAGCTGTTCATACTTCCATTTTTGTCCTTTTTGTTTTCCATTCTCTGATTATGTTGACTGTAGTTAAACAGTGACAGAGAGTATTGGTGAGCTTTTAAATTGATTTATACATATTTTGTAATTTTCTTACAATTATAATGACATTGTCTTAGAAATCTCATCTTGAAACAGCTTTTGACTTTATTTTGGTTTTGAAGCTTTGAACAGGAGGAAGTTAGCAGGGTTTTGAATGATGTTGCCAGGGTTCTTGAATAGTTAACGTGCTTCACATGGCAAGTTTCTTGCTCTTGTTCATGCTGTTCCTTCACAGTGGAATACTACATGCTGAACATCTCTCATCCCTTGTCTTGGTCTCTGCACCAATACAGATCAGTACAATATCGGTCTGTCTGCCCTATTGACTCCCATCTCCCTCAGTCTTTCCCTTCTTTCGGTCTCTAAATGTATTGTCTTTACTCGTTTGTTACTTCCTACATTATTCTTTCTTAGGTCATGCCTTTTTCCTGGTAGACAGTGCATAGTTCAAAGTAGGGGCCTGATAAAGCTTTGTATATTCCTGGTACAAGCATAAGTCTGATGCTGTGTATGTCGTGAGTGCTCTGTATTTTTCTTTCCTGATCTAGAAACAGTGGTTATTTATTTGAAAATTTGCCTCCATTCTGATTAATCAATATTTGAAGGGGAGTAGTTGTTGTTTATTTTTTTTATATAGCAACTGAATGGCCTTAAGTTCACAATTCTGCTCAGCCTCCCAAGTGCTGGAATTAGTCTTGTGCTGCCACACCTGGCTAATGTTCTAGTACTCTCCTCCATTGTCAGACACACACAGCCAAACATTTGTTTTAGTAGTTTCCATCAATAATCAGGATTCTGACATTTCTCCAAAGCCTTCACACATCATTCATATAAAGCATTTAAAAGCAGTTGTCAACCACATCTACTTGAGGAAAGGATTTTTTTAGTTATCAGTGAACTTTTTACAGTACTGACAGATGATGCAGACTCATTTTCTAATGTTCCATTTAACAAATGAAATAATTATCAGTTGTATGACTACTTCCCTTAAGGACTTTTTACAGGTCCTAAGTAGTTAGTGCCTTAGGTCTAACTAGCTTAAAGACTTGCTCATTGATACTCCTTTCATCTTTATGTGACAGGATAATTTATATGGTTTCTGTGACACTTTGTTGAAGGACATGAGATGTTAGGGGATTTGGGTTTTATTTTGATACAGATATGCAAGCATATGAGTGAGCAGGCATACCCCTTTCTCATCATGGTGCTAGGGACAGACCCCAGGTCCTGTGAATGGTAGGTAAGCACTGTACCTCCTAGCTACACCCATAACCCAGGAACAGACTTTCAAATGCTATATTAAAAATATCCATCAGGCAGGATGTGGTGATGTTATGCCAAAAGTGTACCCCAGCACTCGGGAGGCAGAGGCAGGCAGATCTCTGTGAGTTCAAGGCCAGCCTGATCTACAAAGTGAATTCCAGGACAGCCTAGGCTGTTACACAGAGAAACCCTGTCTCAGGACACACACACACACACACACACACACACACACACACACACACACACA